TTTTTTTTCACCAGTCCAAGAAAGTGTAACGTTATAGTGATCACTGTCTCATTTAGCACTCCCCATTCTAGGAATGTATCCTGAGCTTTAACCAAGATTTTAATGTACATTGAATGCTAGCTTGTCTCTGCACCCAAGAAGTCACCAGCAGTCACTTGTTCGAATGCACCACATTTTATTAAATCTGCACAGAAGGCTCACAGAATGCACACATAGCATCCAAAAACACACGTCTTTTCCCTGACAAAACCCTTGTGAACTAGGTGTAGAGGAAGCTCATCAAGACCTACATTGCCGTATATACATTTTCATCTCTTAATTTTGCGTGCAGCCGCAAACGTCTTCTTGGACCAGACTTCAGCAGGTGCTTTCATGTCTCCTTTAGCACGATTGCCCCATATTTCCAGAAGAGTTGTTCCTCTCTTTCCTTCCTGTTCAAAAAGAAAGTTCCCATGTCTCTTGTACCTGAAGAATGCTTTTTTGGGTTGCTTTTAGCATCTCCTGCTAACTTCAGCTCATTCTCAGCATTACCTTCTTAAGGCCACCCCTGCAATTCCTTGCTAACGCTCTGTACTCTTTCTTTGTGGCCTAGCCTTCCGTTCTCTTCCTAGATGTGTCTGTTTTTTTTTCCCTTTTCAGGTCTTTCCTGAGCTTTTTGTAAAGCCACACCATCAGCACCACCAGCTTCGTTCGTGAATCATTCACCTGGAGGATTTTTCTTTCCCTTTCTATTCCTCTTCTGAATACTGATAGGATGGACGAGGAGACCATCTGGGCCCCAAAGTCCTTGAGGTTCCTTTCCAGAGATGCAAAGACCGCTGTGATTTCTTTGTAGACAATGGCTGTGTCATTTGTTCCCACACGGAGAAAGGGATATGCATCCATGGGTTTTATGAGAGAGGGCAACTAGAACCAACAGCTCACACAGTCTTCTTCCAGCTGACTGATTCTTTGCTGTAGGGTTTCACTGGCTCAGAGAATAGGACAGGCAAAGAACCCCTATATGCCTGATGTATTGACTTGGAACTATGTGCAATAAAGGGAGCTTTCGTGTGCTTCTTGTTTTACATTGCAGCACGATTTCACCATCGCTCCTGGTTGCCACCCGGAAGGTCCTCATTGATGATATAAACCGTCAGGTAAGTCAACAGATGACACCAGTGTGTCAGACTGTTGTCTGTCCAAAAGGAAAAATGTGTTTGTCTGGAACCTTTGAATAGGGCAGTACCGGGAAAAAAAGGAGTTTGTTTTTCTGAATGGTAGGACAGCTATCCTGCCTGGTCCATCTCTAAAATCACCATCAACCATCAGGGTCTTACAAAATAAACTGGCAGATAGAAGGAAGAGAATTTTAGATTAGGCCTCCTTCAGTCTCAAGAGACGATGGTAAGGTGCTCTGAATAGAGGTCTTGGAACAGTGTCTAGTGTGGCTGAGGAGGCCAATTTGAGAGTGACACAATTCCTTCCACACTGAAGACAAATACACTCTGTCCCCTGTCCAGCTCCCTGGTTTTGCTGGTTTCGGGATTCCCTCTTGTCCTCAGCCTGCTGGACAAGGGTCTCTTCAAATTGGGAGAGGCTGTGATGCAATGCCTGCCTCCAGGCTGAACGCTCAGATGTCAGGTTTTCCCATCTCTTGAGGTCTATTCCTAAGGCCTTCAAATCCCACTTGCAGAGATCCTTGTGTCACAGCTGTGGTCTCCCTCTGGGGCGATTTCCCTGCACTAAGGAAACGAATGAACAATAAACCAAGCATGACTAAAATACAAACAGGTCAGAGAAGAGAGGAAGGATTGGCGTGTTCTTAGTGGAGGTCATGACGACCCTCCTTTGTGCTTACTAAACACATGGTACCAAGAGAGTTAAGGATGCTGTTGCTGGAAACTTCTCACTGTTGACATCACATGCAATGGCTGCTGGTCCCTTGTTCCACTTCTGAGACAGGATGTTGTTGGATAGCTGCTGCTGGAAGGCAAGAACAAGGGAGGGCAAAGATCAGTCTGTTTTTTTTTGTCCTAGGTCAGCTCATGTCCACCCAATATGTGGGTGATACACAGTCACCTCTGCCATCAGGCCTGCTTTCATTGAAGGAGGCAGTTCAAATCCAGGGAAAACTGAGCTTCCACAGGGCGGGAGGGGGGTGGTTTCGTTGTTGTCTTGCTCAAGGTCTGATCCTTGTTCTTCGTCCTGCAGATATGTGCTGTTCTGAAGACTCCCTATGACTTGGCTGTAGCGCACCTTGTAGGCACTTTGAATGGTAAGATTTTTGTACATGACCTTGTCCTATGACTTCGGATTTTAAGAGCTTGAAAGTAACATGTTAAGATAAAAATTCATTCCTTTAAGATCCTGCCAGCTGCACTTCTTGGGTGTGCCTAAAACAATGGCTTGGCATTGCTGGAAAGACGCCACACCTGGTGTAGTTAAGTGGATTGTGCATTTCATTTATGCAGCAGAGGTTGGCTGTAATTTTAATATTAAAAGCAGAACATCAAGTACATGTTAAGCACAATTTTCACACGTTTTAGAATTTGTACTTGCAGGTTTGTTCCTTGCTATAAGGATAGTGTTTTTTTTGAAAAGGTTAACTGTTTTTAATCACTCCTAAATTTTTGAACATATATGCAATGTAGAAATAAACCTGGATAAATAGACATGATCTGGAGCTGACCTTAGTTTCATGCTGGCTGGGAAACAGTGTGTTTGTTTTTGGGGAAGATTGCCTAAAAGCGGCATTATGAAAAGCAGTGTTATTTGAGCACACCATCAATTCAAAATTTCAAATAGTGACATATAGAGTGCATTACAGGAGTCAAATGTTGAGACTACCAGCGCACAGACCGATGTCACCAGGGTCTTGTCATCTAGATAAGGACACAGCTGGATGATTTACCATAGTTGGCAAAAGGCATCTGCCCAAACTGTGCTCTCTGGAGTCGACCCTCAGGGGAGGATTGCAGCCAGCTGAATGCAAGGCCACCAATCCCCAACGCTGATATTCTGTGGAGGTGGATCCTATCGAAAGCATCTGAGAGATCGAGGAGGACCAAGAGGGTCCCATTGCCCCAGTTGGACTCCTTTAGCAGGTCATTTTGCAGCGTGACCCATGCTGTTTCAGGGCCATGCTGAGACCTGAACCCAGACTGAAAAGGATCTAATGAGTCAGTTTCCCCCAGGAATACTTGAAATTGGTCTTCACCCACATTGGTCTGTCTTTCACCTTCCACCATTGCCTATTCCTTTTAATGACCTGGCAAAATTGGCCACAATCTTTTATTTGCGGTATATATATTGGGAAAAGGTAAATAATACATATATTTTTTTGGGGGGGGGCAAATTTGGGGACTTGTGGTGTGTGCGGAAATATATATATATTTCCACACACACCACAAGCCCCCAAATTGGTTTTCATGTGGCAAACACAGAGACAGAACTTCATGGGAGAAGTTCCCAGAAGGGAGGGAGGTAAGGTCTTATCCATCTTATTCAGAACTAGAAGAAGAAAGAAATGAATTAATGAATGTGTGAAAGAAAGAAAGAAAAAATCAGCTGATAATTTTCTTGCTGTTGGATGAGAACCTCTGTCCCTCAGATGGCCCCACGGTTCCCGGCTTCCTTAGATGACCCCCTGCTTGGCACTTAACTGTTGTACAAATTATAACAATTGATAAACACATCTGTCAGTCGATCTAACTACCTATCTAAGGCTGTGCTCACACAGGCAATTTGAATCAATTTTTGTTCATTAAAAAATCAGGTTCAGACCACATGGCATTTAAACCAGTGGCACATTCACATGCACTGAAAGGAAATTGATTTATTTCTGCTGATTGAACTGGTTTTGGCGTCTACATTGCTTCTTTCCACAAAACGGCATTGAACTGAATCGATTTTAGAGCAAAGTGTTTTAAAATGCCTCTGCTTTGGCCAATTGGGGGAAAAAAATCCTTGCTTGGCAACACATATCAACCAATTTCACCTTTGTGCAAACAATAACATCTGAATCAATTTAAGTGAAGCTTAAATGCTGTTCTTATTGCTAGTGTGACTACGGGCAAACTCAGCCGGACCAATTCTGTAGAAGCCCATGATGAACGGCCTCACCCTAAAGGCCAAGGACAATAGAGAGGGACAGATTCAGTAAGAGCCCCACTGGGGGCGTCTTGACCATCATGGCTTGTTCTTCTTTCATCCTAGTGCCTCTTTCTTTGGGCCCCTACGCAACTCTGAGGTGTTCATTGGCAAGGATGCCCCTGGTCTGCGACACCTTTGCTGTTTTAGATTTATTTGTAAGTATCAATGAACTTCATGTCCTTCTGAGGTGAGCCATTGCCTGTTCACCCTCCAACCCTATTGACACTAAACCTCAGAAGGGGGGTTGGGGTTGTTGAATGTCTGTCTTTATTCCTAAGCGAAGACATAACAGGCTGCCATTTTCTATTTTTCCCCCCAGATCGATGTTGAGGTGCCAGGAAAGGGGAATCTCTCCATTCCCGACTCAGCCGGCTCCATCAACCTGCCTCCCAGGGACAAATTTAAGCACTGCCAGTCTTTCCATCCAGAACTCTTCAACATCCTCCTTTCTGTTTTAGCCCCAAATGAGCCCCAAGAACTGAGCTGCACTCTGGATAAGGTGAGCAGATGTTGGTGCAGGCTGGCAGGTTGACTTGGAATGACTAGAGTTATGCTGTCCAACACCAGTTAAGCTGTCCAACACCAGGGTAGACTGGAGGGTCGGGGGGGAGTAGCCATTGTATATAAATCCATTCTGGAGGTAACTAGGCACTCCTCAGTGGTAAAGCCGGGTCTTGAGGCTCTCCACGTGTCAATTGGGGCCAGGGATGGTACTGGGATCTTGCTGGGCTACCATGCTCCCCGCGACCCAGCCATTTCCCTACTGGAGCTGGTGGACTTCGTCTCCGCGGCACTGCTGGGTACCCCGAAGCTACTGGTTTTTGGGGGACTTCAACGTGCATGCGGGGCCAGAGACTTCTGGGCCAGCTCTTGAGTTC